CCAGGCATGGTGGCTCATGCATATAATCCCAGCACGAGGGAGGCTGAGGTAGGAAGGTGGCAAATTTTTGGCCAGTCAGGGCTATAAGGTAAGTTCCAGACCAGCCTATGAAAAGACCTTATCTCACAAAAAATTATATCTTTTTTAATAATAAAAAAAAATCCTAATTTTCTTTACCTGTAGCCACTGTTTGCTACCATCTAACTTAACCCCTTCATTTTCCACACTAGAAGATCAGTAAATAGCTGTCTTTCCTGCAATATCAACAGGACAGTACCAGAAACTTGACAGTCAGGTCCACCAGGCTCGGCCATCCCACATAGAATTGCTTCTCATGGGTGTTGGTCCAGTGCTGGGTCACTGCAGCAGCTGCATACTACCTTGCTATGAAGTTTTAGAATGGGGAAAATGAGAGAATAAGGCCCAAGTGTAATAAAAAAAATTTTTTTAAAGCCCTAACTAGTTAGAGTAAATCAAAGTTATAAATGGAATGCTTCTAATCAGAGGATGAAATTAAGAGATAATAAATCAAACCATGATGTTCTGATTTCCATACTGCTCACATCTTATCTAGGCTACTCCACCCAGAATGCTATTAAATTAATTGCTTGTATAGATTACTTTTTCTTTTTTAGCATTTACTGATAGAACATGAGCTAACAGAACTTAACCACTGATAATTTTAGCCCTCATAGATTACTTGAGTGCACCCGTGTGAACTGCCTTTCCTGGCTTATATTGTTCTGTGATCCTGTGTTCTTGGCTTTGCATCTTTATGTAACCACTGAAAAAAATCTCTAGCATTCATAAAATATCTGTTACCCTTCCCAAAAATGACTCTGTCTTCAGATTTTTAGTATAGTTTATACTTAATAATGAAAGCTTACCTTAACATTGTTTTTTAGCTTATGCTATAAGCTCTTGAAATTGTAAGGCTAAGCTGTGAAAAACTAAAGTGAGAAATAGCTGAGAAGTGAAGCCAATGTTTTTGGGTCCCCCAACCCAAAAAGGGACCTTCACCTGAGTTTCCTCTTCCGTGTACTTTGAGTAGTACTTTCCTACCAACACTAGGATCGAAAGGCCAGCTGTGATGAGAGAAACTGACAGATGTGTTTCTCTTTCACAGGTTATACTTAAGGTCACAGCCTCTCCCTCACACAGCCTCTTGTCCCCACTCCTTTCTGCCACCACCCCACCTTGTCAGTATTCGTAGCTTATTTAAGAGTCCTGTCAAAAAATTGACTAATTGAGACCTTGAAAGTCATACAAACTAACTTCATTTTATAGATGGAGAAACTGAGGCCGAGAAAGAAGCGCAGTTTATGAAGGAATGCTCTTCCTTCCTACATGGTGTTAGCGAACCCACAGCCCGAGGATTGCCACTGCTCCACTTGTTAATTCTTCAATAGACACTGAGTTCCTCACATGCTACATGTCAGTCACTAAACTATGACCATGACACAGTTCTTATTACAGAGCTTTCAGACTAGGGGATCAGTTAATATAACATGGAATGGTAATTATTATGCAGTAATCTGAATAAGCAAGGTGCTGTTGGGACACTTAGAAAGGAAGTCCTTTTCCAGCTTTGGATGGAAGGTGGCCACAGAGATCTTCAAATAGGTAAATTCTGAGTTCTGAAAGACAATTAGTCAAAGATTTGAGGGAATAGGTGTCAAGAGCAGAGTGTGTAGAGAGTCCTGAAGCAAGAAACAGTGGCACAGAAACTCCCAACACAGCCTGTTAGCTCCCAAGTCTGTGTCCTTTCCAAGTAGCGGGGCCTTCTGCATAGAACAGACATTCCCACTTCCCCGGGGGTGTCTGCAGCAAGTTCACCTTGGGTAGTTCCTGTTAAGTATTTGCTGCTCATAATCCGGCTCTACTACAATTGGTGCCCTCTTTAGAGGAAAGGTTAAGACACACTTCTGCGTTACCCACAGTGCATTGTAATGCCTAGTGCACAGTGGAAGCATGCTTATGTCCTTGCACATACACCTCCAAGCGTGTCTTTGACGTTTGTCTCTGTTCTGCTAGTTCTTTCTGTGGCCTCAACATTTCCTGTGGGCTCTTAAGAGCTATTACTAGTTCATCAGATACATCAGTGATTAACTTTGAAACTCCTAATTAGAAATTTTCACCAGTCTAGTGTGTTTGTATCAGGAACAAATGTGTGATAGCATGTGTTAAAAAAACAACAACTGATTTTGAGAGGTAAATTCTTAACAGTTAAACTTGCCTCATTCTAATTTTGCTTAGTTTCTCTCCTATTTTTTATCATCTCCTCCAAATAAATTTGAAAAATGGGAGGAAAAAAATCCAGGTAGTAAATGTGGAAATTTTGAAGCTACTAACCATCAGTAGTGTAACTGACATAAAAGAGTGACCCAAGTCACCATCAAATAGACCTTATCGTGGTTCATTCATCCTTTAGCAAATGCTTGGGAACTCAGCTCTATCACCACATTTGTCTTCCAGGTACCAGAGAGAGTGCAGAAATGACTGTAACTGAAATACTAGAAGTAGGAAGAAGGCTCACATCCCTTTAAGTGAGATTTAAACATGAAGTGGTAGGGTCTGCAGCAGTGGGGGAGAAACGGGGGTAGAGATGACATGTGCACTCAGTGTTAACGTATTGATAACCTGGTGTTTTCTGTTACACACCTTTTCTTACAAGTAAGTGTGAAGGAAGTATGTCATATTAGGGGCTCAAGAGATGTCAGAGGTTTGGAACAGCTACTGAAGAATGTGATAGCATGCCAAAGGGAAATAAAATGATCAGCCTCAGTGGAAAACACCCACAGTGATGTGTGTGTATGATCTACCCGGGTCTTTTAATCCTGGAGTATATTATGGAGTATGTTACATATATTTGGAGTATATATGCTGGCACACAGAAAGTACACGTGCGTATGTTACCATCTTCTCTAACTGGGGAGAGCGGTATCATACCTACCTCAGGACTGCAGTGGAACCTATTGGTAAAAATTGGGCTAGGTTTCATTGCTAATTTGTGTGTGTGTGTGTGTGTGTGTGTGTGTGTGTGTGTGTGTTAGTTCTAGCTAACACCAACCTCATACCTTTCTAACAGAAATGCCCCTTGCTGCCAGAAATTTTTTTTCCCAAACTAACAAACTTGCAAATTCAAATTTTGTAAAGTGACCTAAACAAAGGTGACTGCATCTATAAGCGAGTCCGTTTTCTCACCTTTCTGAAATCAACGCATACTATTTGTAAAATAAGGGGGGGGTCCATTTTCATACGTGCATGTGATCAAGATGATATTCATTCCCCAGGACCCTCTCTTAGTCTCCCCCCTCACTGCCCCCCCAAAGAGTCACCCTTTTCTACTTTCTAGTCTTCTTTTTATGTCTTTTCTACATATGAGGCTAAACATACCATGTTTGTCTTTCTGGGCCCAGTCTAGTTGCCTAATATAATCTCCATTTTAAACCATTTTCCTGTACATAACCTAGTTTCATTCTTCACGACTGAAGGAAACTCTGTTGTATATGTATACATACACCGCTTGGATGGACTTCAAGAGAGATGACGTGCCAGTTGTCCAGTGAAAATACCTTGGTTCCAGAGTGTTGGCAAAAAAGAAATTACTTTCAATCCACTGCCCTGTTGTACTAAAGTATTGCTCATTGGACCAAATAATGCAAGGGTTTTGACGACAGCCCACAGCATATTTTGTGCCACAACATACTGCACACATAAGAGTGTAGGAGACATGCTGTGTGCAATAAAACACCCTTGTGATGGCCCCTGGTAATTGTTACCGCTCGCTTTCTGTAAATGCTCATTGTAGTCTGTTAAACTGCTCACTAAAGAACTAAAGCTACTCTAGGGGGAAACAAGTTTGTTACTGTAAGATTTCAAAGATTTTGAAATACAGTTTTCATTAGTATAAATTTTTTAAATTGTGTCTATTTTTAATGGTGGCCACAGGCTTAAATTATTTTTCTCTCCTATTAATCAGGTCTCAACATGGTTTTTCACCACCTTTTCTGTCTCAGGACTGAAGGATAAAGTCCACCATGTGGACAGCCTGCACCAGCTGTTTTCTGCCATATCACCAGAGCAGATCGACTTTCCTCCTTTTGTCCTCGAGTACGATGCCAGGGTAAGTGTCCGTCCTGTACCTTTTGTGGTATATCAGGTATACTGTAGGGCACCAGCCATGAGCACAGCATCCTGTCATTACATGATACTGCTAATGTAGGTGAGTGTTGTTTGTAAGCTTCAGAATAATCATGTCACATTTTCCTCACAATAACCTTAAGAGTCTGTCCAAAGAGAGTTTTTCTCCAGGATAAATGTTTCAGTAGAAGATTTTTCTGCCATGAATTTAAAGCCAACCCTTGGTTGTATGGTCAGTTTCTGTCTGTCACATTTGAGGTAGCCTACTTTTCTAAAGATTGGATGACTTTTCAGCTACACCAGCAGCCAGAAGAATTGACCAGTGTCCACTTCGGCATCAACGATAAATCAGGTGTCGATCTTCGCAACCTTCATCTGACTAAAGGTTTAGTTCTAAAACCTTGAGTAGTGTTTTTAAGAATATCTACTGATATTAATATTGTTATTATTTACAGGTTATATTTATAGCCCTATTGCCAAAGTACTAATCTAATGACTACGCCTGAATTTCATTAAAGTTCTAGTCTATTGTGTTTATTTACAGTATCACCTTTGTATTAAAAAAAAGTGAACCACTTGGCCAAAAGATCATCAAACACATTGCTTAACTGTCGCTGATTATGTGTCTTTATGCATGAGCCAGAGGACAGTCTGAAAGTAAAACTGAGTTTGTGAGAAGTATTCTGCCTTCATTATTATGCAACATGTTATATGCAGTCAAATAAAAATCACATAGCACAATTCTCTTAACAGTTCTCTGACTTCAACAATGATTTCTGTCCCTCTGTGTGAAAAGCAAAGTGTTTAGTGTGTTTTAATAGCTAATGAAATTTCACATTTGACTGTGATGCTGAAAGGATTTATAACTGGAACAACTGATCATTAAAGATTGTTGAATATATGGGATGGGAAAAACTACATCAGTTTGTGTTTACTAAAGATTGCTGGAGTAAAAACCACCTATTGTTGGGCCTTTGATTGGCTCTGGTATTGCTTCAATAAGTAGCAGGAATTAAAAAGGCACTAAAGAATATTTTTGATAATGAAAATTTGAATGACATTTCAAGTCTGTCTTTACAATTTATTTTCTGAAAGTACAGAAACACACAGCACCACCACACTCAAGCTTAGTTTGTTTTGCTTAGGTGTTTGTTTTAGCTTTCTGTATGTCAAATATGGATATAATTAGATCAACCAAAAGGAAGTACAACTTCTAAGCCAATTATTGGCTCATTAAACCGTTGCTCTGTACCTATACTATACTTTTCTAAAATTGAGATGTTATATCATCTGTTTATGAAGACTAAAGAGAGGCATAAAAATGGGAAAGAAACCAGTGAAGGTATAAGGAGATAGTGTGCAGGGAGAGACGGGGCAGACCACGAGATGCTGCCTCTGTGTGTGCCACAAAGAACAGAGAGAATGCGGGAGAGGCGAGTCTGTGGGAAGATGGATCTGGTACTGACTTGGAGAGCTAGGGCTACAGGTAAGCATTGCTACTGATGCTACCAAGGGTTTGAAGATTGGTGATATCTAAAAATGGACAAAGATCTGCAGTATTTGGAGGAGACTAAGTAACAAAAAGCAAGTGCTTCCTGGTGGATGGTCTTTCCATTACCCTGGAGAAGCAATATGAGAAAAAGTCTTGAGGGACTAGGGGAAGGTATGGGTAGTATGTTCAGCTGTGACATGTTAGTTTGTGGGACACTCAAGTGGGACACCAAGGAGGTGGTTGGATGCCACTTTATAAGGAAACATGTTCTTTTAGTGGAAGAATGTAAAATATGGTTAGAGAAAAGAAAAAGGATACCATTGGCATATTTTATTATGGTTACTTATGCCTTGCAGATAATAGGCTCTTCATTTGGTGAAGGACTGAATTGGTATTGATTGGTATCAAGTTTCAGTGGGCTTTTAAAGATCTCATTTCTGAGCCATGTGTGGTGGCACATGCCTTTAGTCCCAGCATTCAGGAGGCAGAGGCAGGTGGATCTCTGTGAGCTCAAGGGGTCTACATGGCAAGTTCCAAGTCAATCAGGGCTGCATAGGTGAGACCTGTCTCAAAAAAAAAAAAAAAAAAAATTCCATTTCTAAGATTTATGTCATTTGGAAAGCCAGCAGTTTTTTTTAAAAGATTAAAAGGGACCTTTGAAAAGTAGATGAAAGGTAATTTTTATCTAGATAAAAATAATACTTTCAGAAGAAACTAGTCAGCATTCTTATAAATAAAATCAAAGAAAAGTATGCAATTTTAGCTGGCAAGAGTTCTTTAAATTACCGTGATTGTTTCCAGAAATAGAGAAAATGGTTGCGCAACAGTCTCTTACACACTTGACGTTCATGTGAAAAGCTCTGTTTCACCCCTTACATATTAGATACTTGATCCTCATGGGAGAATAGAGGAGACCTCTTACAGATGGATGCTGAAGGATCTCCCTCAAGCGAGCTTCAGAATGGGTCTCTCTTCTGGGAAGTGTTTCTCTAGTATTTCTCTTTCTACATATTACAGATGCAGCTTAGATTTCAGATCTTGATAGGCAAAATGCAAAAGTAAGTTTTCAGGAATGTGATCAAGAAACCTGGTCAAATTTATTTATAATCAGTAATTAAGTTTGCTTAAATGGCCTTGCTTTCCGGTTATGACTCTGAGTTCCTGCCCAGAGCGTCTGCTCTAAAGATGGCTGAGCCCTTGGCTCACTTAAGGGAGAACATTAAATTGCCTACTAGGTTCACAACCAGGGGTTTTAATGTCCTGTGGTTCCTGTCAGGCAAATGCCATGGAGCCATCTACCTCCGCCCTTCTCATTCTCCCTGACTGTTGTCTGGTGGTAGTGCTAAGCATTTGCTGTTTATGGCTTATTGAAAAACAAGTTCTTTGCCAAAGAAATACTTTTCTTAAAAATGAGAGTCCAGTCTTAAGTCTTAAAAATCTAATCTAGGATCTTCCTATCATAAAGTTAACTGTCTTGTTTTTATTAGATTATCCAAAGTGGGGGCCAAAGAATTTCCCTACGCTAGTCTGTTGCTTTCTATATTTGACATTAAAATTCTGGCATTTTATTCTCCATCTTGATGTGGAACTGAATTCCCTGAGAACTGTAATTGTTACAAGTGTTGCCACTCAGGCTTGTCATGAAGAGGCCTTTCTGCCAAAACACTTATGGTTATTCTTCAGAAATAATTTTTATCATTGTTCCATAACTTTTAAGATTCAGCATGTCAAAAGGCATCACAGGCTAACAAGAATCTGAGTGTTACATGCAGATAGACTTGTGTTTAAATCTGCTACCTACTAACTAGATGGCTTCAATTGAGTTTACACTCTGCAGACTCTTCAGGTTCCTCCTCAGTAAAATGAGTATAGTACCTATTTCATGGCATTACGTGGGAATGAAAGGGACAGTGAAAACAAGGAGACTGGGATGTCCAGCGTATGGGATGCTCAGTAAGCAGCATTGTTAGTAACACGCGTTCTCATCCTTGCTGCCTTTCCTGCTTGATGCCAACTCTGATGGCCAAGGTTCTGCTCAGTGCCATGGACATGCTAGACACTTTACATGCTCTGTTTCATTTACTGCAGGTTCCTGTCTTTCACATAACCCTGTTTAATTGGTCTTGTTAGTTCATGTTTTTATTTTTTTCTCTCCACAGGAAAATGGGCCTTACTATGCATCTTATCCCCCATCACCTGACTTATGACCTGCTGTCTTCCAGGGCTTCCTGAGTACAAGGATGCCATTTCACCACGAGCTGCTGCCTATTGAAGTGCTGTTCATTTCTGCTGTACAGACCCAGAGAGCCTTTTGTCCCCACCTCTCTGGTATTTTTTTATTGACTATATTTTCTGGCACATAAGCAATCTACAAATGGTGGGCCATTCTGAACTACACATATTTTAAATTTGTATATTTGTATCAAATGGAAATGTTCATTTTTAGAGTGTTAATTGGGGATCAACTTTTGAGTACCTTCAGTTTCCTGAAGGACACCGGACTCTGTGTTACACAGGCCACCAACATTGTACACATCATCTCTTAAACAATGCACACGTTCTTTGTGTATTTAAGTGTTTCTCAAAATATATAGACCCAGTGTATGCTGACTGGATGCATTGTTTGCTTCAGACCCTGGTGTTAATACCATTTAGATTTTTTACAGATCATCAGATTATAATAGAATTGTCCAGGTCCAAGATGTATTGAGCATGGTGTGGTACACCTTTAATCCCAGCATGTGGGAGGCAGAGGCAGGTGGATCTCTGTGAGATCAAGGCCAGCCTGGTCTATATAGTGAGTTCCAGGACAGCTAGGGCTACAGGGAGACCCTGCCTCAAAAAAATGAAAAATGAAAGATAGGGGCTGGATAGATGGCTCAGCAGTTAAGAGCACTGACTGCTCTTGCAGAGGACCTGGGTTTGATTCCCAGCACCCACATGGTGGCTACGAACCGTCCTTAACTCCAGTTCCAGGGGAATCCGAAGCCCTCTTCTGACCTCTGCAGCATTGCACAACACGGGTGCACTCATTTACATGCAGATGATACACTCATACACATACAATAAAAATAATAAAATATTTTTTAAATGAAAGATAAAAAAATTGTAGAAATGTATTGGATCAAAAATACAAAAATCATTAGCCAGTCATATGACTAGCGGTTTTACTACTTAAGACTGAAGAGTAAATACTCTGTGGATCTGTGGATTATTTGTTCACTGTTGGGGTCTCAACAGTGTGGGGAGCAAGAAGACCACACCTTCAGCTCTTGCCACAATCATGGGTAGTTTGCGCTCCTTAATTTAAAAGGACGCACACACTAGCACTCTGAAGTAAAGAGCATTTCCCGGGATTCTGCCCTTGAACCCTTTTGAGACTGTGTGTCTTCTCGGGGTCGTAAACGACTGTTGGCTCAGCATCTTCTTCAGTTGCCTAGTCAATGCGGTGGAGGTGGATGACAGTGCACAACGCCAGGAACCTTTTTCCAGACCACTTTTGCCACCCAGGCTCTATTTGTGCCTTAGCTTATTTATAGCGAAAGTTAGAGTTATACAACCTCCTTCACAGAGGTACCGTGCAGCTAGCATTTAGAACGGACTTGGCGGTCTCTGGATGCAAAAGGCCAAGGGAGTTTGGTGGAAGGGAGCCTGTGTTCAGTTAGTTCTTAAATGGAAGCAAATATACATCAGGGAATACTGTCAGGCACTCCTGTGGCCCTTGGCACCTTTTGAGTGATAGTGGGGCTTTTTGGGGGGAGTAGGGAGAAAAGTGAGGATCTATTAGAACAAAATCCTGCCCCTGACCCCTGGACCACTTCCTGTTTTCTCTAGATGTAGTTCTTGCCCTCTGCTGTCATGCTGCCCTTTGGCATTTAAAGATTTCTTCTCAGATTAAGGTCAGCATTACCATTCTGTGTGGGTCTTTGAGTTCCTTTTGGCACCTGCACCCGCCTCCATCTCCCTCACTGTACCATGTGCATTTGCAGTTCAGAAAAGAAAACGTAGAATTCTGCTGTTCTTGTGTGAGAATTCAGAGAGATAGTGAGGAAAAGAGCCCTGCCAGTGCTTCTGAGGATCCACTCCCTTTGCCCAGACTAATTCTTAAGTGGAGGGAAAGAAGCAGACTTCTCTCTGGCTGAGCCAGGGAAATCTCCCTGTGTCATATTAGTCCCATCCTGAATTTTTCCTGTAAAGAAGAAGGGTTCACGTTTCTTGCATAAATGTTCTTACCTTAGCGTGGATAGGACACATTTGCCTTGTCAAACATCAAAGCCACTTGTTTGTTGCATATACTTAACATGTTAAGGACTTCATGGCATGTTTCCTAGGTCATCTAGGCATCCAGTCAGGTGTCCAGTTTAGACTTCACTCTCAAATATTAGTCCTTATCCCCCGAGCCTTAAAAATTGGGCATTTTAACATCCTCTATGGCCAACTGTTGTATCATTATCTAGACATCTCTTTCACTTGCAGCAACTGTCATAATATGCCATCATTTCTCTGCTAATGCTGGACGTGCTACCTTGAACTGACATCTGGCTTAATCCACTGCCACTGTACATAATAGGGACTGTGAGCTACTTGCTGATAAAAGGAAGCAAATTTATAATAACTTTGTGTATAATTTTGGACAGAGTGGCCTCAGACTTGGAATCCACCTGGCTTACCCTCCAGAGTACTGGGATAATGAGAAATGACCATACCCAGATCTGTTCATTTCATTGTAGGTAATATTTCTGAGCGGATTTTCCTTCCCTTCATTCACACCAGTCAGAACCACCATGTGCTGATATTCTACCTTAATTGATGCACTGGGGTTTAAAGGTGGTATTAGACTGTACGCATGCCAACTATTTCATGATTTAATGGTGACTCAAGAAAGATAAGGACCGGTCAGAAAAGTTTGGTATGAGACTGTTTATGCTTTTATAGTTTTCCTGAAGTGTTATTTATTATTTCTTAGAGGAGAAACAGTGGCCTTGATACTGAAATGATTAAGTAACATGTATATGTGTTTTGTCAAAAGGCTGGATATCCTGAGTAACATAAGAGGTTTTGAAGAACATACTAAAGGATAAAGGGGTGACTAGGTGGAGATGTTCACTAAGACATGATGTTAATCCAAAGCAACACCAAATCCTTAGTCCAGTTAAACCTTGGTCATGTCAAATTGCTGTTGAGTTACTAAAGACACATCTTACAAAATACCAGCTCAATTTGTACAGAATTCAATTTTTAAGGCAAGTACATTTCTTGCCTTGGCACATATTTCAGTCCTTTCTAATTTCACATATCCAAGTTTTTGTATAGTAAAAATAGTATTTTGAGAGGTTCAGTCCATTCAACTTTTTTTTTAAGTTTTTTACAATATTATTAGAATTTTAAAGAGAAAGAAATCCTCAGGGCAGGCAAGCTGGTAATCTTGGCAGCTGTCTTGAGGAGGAGGAGGTCAGACATGTGGCTGACAGCCAAATAACTAGGAGAAGGAAGCTTTAGAGAAAAAGTAAAGAAATGCAAGATGCTAGGGGCAGCCCAAAGCTTTAAAAAAGCATGTTTAGTGAGAAAGGCATGAAGGAGAAAAAGGGAAGAATTCAGGGAAGCAGACAACTCACAGAATACATGGCTGTAGCCAGGAAGTTCTGTGCTGCCCGTAGGCCAGATTACAGGCAGGAAAAAGTCACTATCTCATTACATTAACATGTCTATTTAGCATAACCTGCCTTCCGGGTGGCCCTATGACCAGATGACTGACCAGTTAAAATTACATAAAATGGAGGCGCTTGGATTATTATATTCCCCACTGGCTCTGGGACATAAGTCAAATCTTTAACTTGTTTTGATTTCGAGGCTCATACTGGGTCCTTTGAACCCTAATTTTAATGGCATTTGGGCACCTCTTGATCTATCTGCTTAGGCAATTTAGTAGGCATGGACCCACCATAAAGGCTGGGAGAATTACCAGAGGCCCAGGAAAACTCAATTACACCTGAATTATTGACATAAAAACAGCAAACCTCACTGAAGTGGTTCATTTTTAAAGGTTTTCTTTCCCTTAATACATACATGATTTCATTGAGCAATGCTCTATTTCCTTTGACAAAAGAATCCATGTAGGGTATTTTAAGAGTAATTGGGACTTTCTTTTCCCGTCTTTTGAGACAGGGTCTCCCTGTAGCTCCAGCTGGCCTGTAACTCACTGTGTAGACCAGGCTGGCCTTGAACTCACAGAGATTCTCCTGCCTCTGCCTCCTGAGAACTGGGATTAAAGGCGCATGCCACCACACCCAGCCTTTTTTTAGTATTTTAAAAACAAATTTCTGAAAGTTTTTAAGTACCTCCCCTTTCTAAAAAGGGATAAGTATAGTATCCTGTCATAGAAAAAGCTTGACTTGTCTTCCTGGAGTTTGGGGGTTTTTATTTTGTTTTGGGGGGATTGTTTTTTTCCTCATTTTCATGTAATGATGAAAATGTAGGACTGGGCTATAGCTCATGTTAGACCACTCCCCTAACACATGCAAGACTTCAAATTCTATTCCTAGCAGCAAGGGGGTGAGAGGATTAATGGCTTTATCTTTTCTTTATGACAGTTAACAGGAAAGTGATAAAATGTAGTGCTTAACATAAACTAAAAATCACTCTATATTTTCCCTAATATGCACAGAGAGAGAGAGAGAGAGGCTTTTAATTAATATATAAATAGAAATTAAAATTTGAAGTATTAGATAAATAAAAATTTTGTGGCTCTAGAATCATTGTATTAAAGACTAAAAGTGCCTCGAGGTAACAGATAAACCCTTCTAAGATCAGGGTACTGATACTAATGTATCCTCACAATACGTTGAGCTTTAAGATACTTGGTCTTTCTGACTTTGTAGTTAATGACCCTTCAAATACGATCTCATTGGAGTAGAGCCTGTGAAGATCCAGGAGTGAAAAAATCACTGTTTAGATTCAACAGCAAAGCTTCCTTACTTGTTTACTTCTTGTGCTTTTCTTTTTTCTAACTTTCATTAATTTTTTTTCCTTTGACAGTTTCATACTTGTATAAAGTACATTCTAATTATAACCCACCCTCTCTAATCTCATCCCACCCCCCTTTCAAGCATTTTTTAAGACCAGGTTTAACCAGGATCCTCTTTGTGGCCATGGGTTTGGAACTATCCGTTGGAGCCTTTTGGGCTCCTAGGTGGGTACACAGCTGAAGAAATGGCTGCCCTTCTCACAGAACCCATTCACATAGGCCCCTCTTTGATCCACGATAGGCTGTTGCTAGGTCCAGTCTTGTGTAAACCTTTGCATAGAGCCTCAGCTGTTGTGAAGTCACAACAGAAGACAGCATTTCCCAGCCCTTCTCCCTGTCTTCCGGCTCCTATATGCTGCTGAGACCCTTGAGCTTTATTAAACGTTTTGCTGTATGTGTCTTGTTAGGACTGACACTCATCTGCTGCTCTGCATTTGGTGCTGTTCTACAGGGGAAGGCTTCTCTGAGTCTAGGAGTAGCATTTCTCTACGGGTGTCAATATAAATATTAGAGGGTACCTTGACATGAGAACATTTAAACACAGTCGTTACCTTTTAAGGCCTACAACCTCCTCAGCCATGGGTTT